TGTGCATTGTTACTCTAGGACAGGAAGAGTGTTACTTGCAGGATCACCAGGTGAACATAAAGGAGAAAAACAGAAAAGAAAAATAATGCAGCCACCAGCCTACCACATCTAAGGACTAGTAATCTGCAACATATTATGTTTTTATTCTTGGGTTAAGATACGCTTTTAAAGTGATATGAAAGTCAAAAGGTTTTTAAGCTATTTCAAATGCTGAGGAAATCACTTACAATGTGCTCATTGATGCTTAAAATGTTTAGTTTCCTGCAGAATCAGCTGGTCTTCTGAGCACTGGCCCTGATATCCTGTTTCAGGCTGGCGCCTTTCCCTTGCAGGATCCTATGGAAACACCCGTGTGTGTACCAGTAAGCTGTGTGTATCTCCACAAGCACAAAGGTATTACAAGGCAAGTCACGCCACTGCTCCCTGCTCCTTTCTCCCTTATCCAAGATAGCAGATGGACAACCTCTCCACACTGTGCTGTCCCTTGTGAACTTCCCTGAACTTGACAGGAATTTCAGGGAAGCCAAGCTGAGAGACTTGGAGCTAGCTGTTTGTAACTATGATGACTGTAGTTGCTTGAGGAAAAATGTGAAGAAATACTTTGCTGGGTAATGTGTATTTGTTTGATCTGGATTCATTATTAAAAAAAAGTTTAAGTGTTTAACACTACTTTAACTACCAGTTCAAGAACAAGAACACAAACACCTCTCAAGAACAAGACCATAAAACAGGAAAATAATAAAAAGAAATGACAAATTACACTGGTTTACAAATCGTGGGAAATTATCGACCTAAAATGTGTTAATTCTTACATATTTTTATTAGATGAATTAGAAACGGGTGATAAAGGTGCTGGTTGGTTGGCTAAAGTTTTCAAGATATTTCACAATAAAGATTTATAAACAGGCGAGTATATTTGCCTACAAGGGAGGGAGGTGTCTGATGATCATGATGCCTCGTAACTTCTCGACAAAGTACGGCATAACAATGAAAATGGTACCACATGGAAGTGTATACATTTATCTTCACTTTGAGACTAAAGATTATTACCCAAATGTAATTTATTGTTCATTTATTGGAAGGTACATTTGTCTTGGTCAGATCTACGCATCATACAGTTACATCTGGTGACTTGTGAAAGTGTCATTGCCTATCAATTCCAAGGAACAGTTGCGTGATATTTTCCCTCAGAAGCCAAGATGTCTCAAAACTGTGTAAACAACGCAGATAACTTCTGCTACATTTGTGGCGAGGTGACATTTGCATCTCAAAAGTGTAGTAGTAAAAAAAAGTATACCACCTATATTTTGGATGCAAAATAGGGGATCAGGACAAGAGTTGGGCCCTCTTGTTAGTTGCATTACATGTGCAACTTATCTGCGTCATTGGCTAAACAAGAAGAAAAAGCCCATGCCTTTTGGCAATCCCAATGGTGTGCAAAAAGCATGAAAATGTTACATGAAAAACCAATAAATGAATGGAAAGTTATGTTATTGGTATCAATAAAAAAGATACATTTATAATGATTGGTGTGGCACCATTATCATTGCTATATCACATTTTGCAGAAAAGTTCTGGAGCATAATCACACATTCCCCTTGTAATTTTGAGTTATTTTGATGCAATTTTGACCTGAAGCTGTATCTTGGAAACTGGAGCCAATTAATACTCAGGACTTAATTTTCCTTTATTAGTGACCCAATTCAGGTAAAATTTTGCAACTTTCATTTCTGAGGCTTTCTCCTTGTAGACCAGTGTGATTGATCAATATAGTTTCTACACAGTTTGTTTCAAATTTCACGTTTTCAAAATGTACATAGATTCTTATAATTGCATTTCAGTTGCATAGTTTTAGGTGTAAGAAATAAGTAATGCAGACTTGATGTGTATTTCATTTACTTAGAGACTTTAATCAATGTATGTTTCTCCCAACAGATGAGTCCTGTGTTACACGACTTTGCCTTTATCTTTCTTACCTGGTTTTCGATCAGGGTTGATGCCTATCCTGATGGCCAAGTTACTGCTGCATGTAGGTCAATGATACCAGACCATAATGGTACCTCAGCACAGGTCTCCGCCTCACCATTCATTCTAAATGTAGCTAAAATCACCTACAGTCCTGGAGAAAATATTACAGGTAAGAGTCACCCATGGATCCCATATAATGAGCAACTGCTGCTTTCTTGCCTTCAACCTACACTCTCTAAAAATGGACAGTTCTAGCAAATGTGGCCTTTGGATTAACGTGGTCATTTAGCTGGAGTCCCTGTCCCATTTATACAACATTTAATGAGATGTAATGTCATCATCTTTGTCATGCTTGTCAATGCCATCACACAAACATCAGCAAAACACATCAACCTAAATGTATTCTGTTTTCTCATTGTGCCTAAATTATGTTTATTGGTTGGATAATACAATACATCATACAAGTAAATAGCTACAGGCAGTCCCCAGGTTATGGACAAGATAGGGACTGTAGGTTAGTTCTTAAGTTGAGTTTTTATGTAAGTTGGAACAGGTACATTTTTAAGTTTAACTGCAGCACCCAATATTTTTTTAAATTTTGGATAGCAAACAGAAGGGTTAACCCCCGATAACGCTTGTCTTGCTGTGTGTGCTCCTGTTCAGAAGATTTCCCCTCACTTGCTGTCCCTGTGACGATTGGATTTAGAAAATTTTGGGTTGTCGTGGAAACAAGGATTGGTGATAAAGCTTCAGTGGAGACACCTTTTCCCCATGATAACTCTTACAGGAGTGTATTTCCCTTCCTAGGGGTAGATTTCCTCTCACTTCCTGCTGTCTCAAGGACAAGAAGCGAGATTAAATCTTTCTAATGAGGATACAGACAGCAGTAAAAACTTCATAGTGACCCATAAGAAGAGGCGGGCACCCCTCGTCTGCACGTCTAACAAGAGCCAACTTCCTGTAATGTACATACAGTATTACGAACCAGACCTGAAAAGGCGGGCACTCCTCGTTGGCACGAGCACGGTACAACTACTGAAATGCTGTGCTGTACACTTTGGCTGTTGCATGGGACCCCCTGCTGTACAGTACTAGCCTCTGTTTGTAAGTAGGGGTCGTATGTAAGTCGGACGTGCCTGTAATTCCTTTTCATTGTCTGTAGTTTCTGATGTCCTCAAAATATGAATAGCGAATTAAATACAGCTAGTGTTTTGTTCCAAACTTCAATCATTATTTATATCCCTTGTGCCCAACCTGCAGCCCGTTGGAACGCTTTGTGAGGTCCCTGCAGCCAGTAGTCCATATATCTCCTGCCTGGGAGCTGGCCATACACTACCAGATTTTTTTCTCTTCATCCTCTGGGCTGAACATCAAAAATCTAACAGATTGCTCCATCTACACTAAACAGCATGGATGGACGAATCTCTCACTGTAGTACCTGCTGCTGCCAGAATACATGAACTGTGACTGCATGGCTGCAGTCACTGTTTGATTGCAAATTTTGAGCCTAGCTCCTTTGACAAGTCAACTGAGTAATCAATCCGATGGGGCCACTCACTATGGGAATTTCAGCTGATTTCTGTGAATCGGCCAAAATTCTAACAGTGTGTGGCCAGCCTTACCGAAAAACTCAGTGCATATGAAAAATTTACTTTAAACCCTAGACGAGCACTTAACCCTTGCAGGGCAGCCCTACTGCAAGGGTTAAAAGAGAACTATGGGGGTAACCTTTTTATCTTTTTCTCTGTGCTGGGCCAGCACTAATGAGTACATCAGAGAACATGCACTGTGTAGCAGTAATAGAGCACTGATAGAATCCTGCATTGTACCACAATATCAGAAACAAAAACTCAGACCAGTGCAGGAAAAATATTCATTGGACATGCTTCAGCAAGTTACTGTAAATGGTTTGACTTATTTCTTTTACATTTTTTTTTCTATGCTAACTATTCCCTTCTATGTAATTTTTATGATTAAACTTGTAATATATATCTTGTGGTAATTTGTAGGGAGCTGTAGAGAGCACAAATTTGGGAACATTAAAGTGGGCTACAATGGTAATGATCTCTAAGGTCCTTTTCATATGGGACGTTTTGAGATTCCTGCAGCAGCAGCAAGGTATTCCTGCTCGATAGATAAGTCCAGGGACAGCGATCTATTCCAAACCGCATATAATCATAAATCCATAAGATTATCTGGAAACTGACGCTTAGAGATTCGGCCACTGTAATTTGAAATTCTACGGGTGACATCGGCTGCATCTAAATGGAACATTTTGGATTCCTGCCGCAGGAATCTGCATGTTCATGTTCACTTTGTAGAAGAATTTACCTTTAGCTTAGTGAATGAGGTGGCTTTCATTGTCCAATCATGTGCATGCAAAAATACTTTTTTTTTTAAATTTTCCTTGCGTGATTGGGTATTCTTTGCAAAGTGAATTTTCACCACATTCTCTAAGCTAAGGGAAACTGCTCCTGCAAAGTGAACAGCCTATCTACATTTAGTAAATCAACTCCTGTGTCTTCTGTATCTGGTTCCTAGCTTCCAACGGCACCAGTTGTATGACTGCCGTCCTAGAGCATCCCCTGTAGCATGGATGTAGTCTTTGTTCACTTCCCGTGGTATGTCCACAGTCTCCTACTGTATATTGTGTGTGGTCTTTTGTGATGTCACTTGAGCCCTCCCCCCCCACCCTTTATTTGGTAAATCAACCACAACTAATGTACGGGAAATGCTTCAAGGCAAATACATCTTTTATAATGTGCATACATTAATTCCAATGTCTGAAATAACATTCAAGCTTGCTCTTCATTTTGCAGTCACTCTCACCAGCAGTACTGGTTCCACTCAGTTTAAAGGTTTTCTAATCCAAGCCCGATCAGGCGATGATCCCACCCCATTGGGCTCCTTTCAACCCACTTCATCAGATTCACAGACTCTGACTTGCACATCGACTGATGTGAGTATGAAAACGTATTTAATGTATGTCTCTGCAGGGGCGTCCCGAGGCCAGGTGTCACCGGGAGCGGGGAATGACAGCCCGCCGTGACATCATCGCTCATGCTCGTGACGTCCCCACACACGTGTACGATGACATCATCGCGCATGCGCGGTCATCTTGTTGCCGCCTGCCTGTGGCCATCTTGGTGATGGACGCCAGTAAAGGGAGGAGGAGACGTTCTAAGAAATGCTTAAAGTAGATGTCTCACCCCACCCCCCACCACCACCTCTATTCAAGCTTGGCTTCTCCATTTTTACATAATCTATTGTCTGCCACACACAATGCTGTTTTAATACCTCTCTCTGAGCAGGTTAATATAATGACACCTCCTATCTCCAATTATGCAAATACAATCACTCATTACCTCCATGAGGTCTCTGCCCTCATGCTGGTTGCGATTAAGAAATTATGTGGATTGGAGCAACAGTCACCACATATATTCCCAGATGATTTTTGTATTGTATTCATTCTGAATTGAAAAAGCTGGCCAGATGACCAGTGAAACGTCTTCAAAAAAAATACAGCAAGTCCAGTTGCCTTGACTTATTTTTTACAGATATACCATAACTTGGATGAATGAGAACCTTCACAGACACAATGACCTAAAGCACACGTCCAAAAGCACCCAGAAATGGTTTCAGACAAAGCACTGGAGAGTACTGGACTGGCCAGCAATAAGTCCAGAACTAAATCCCATAGAGCCCCTGTAGAGAGATCTCAAAACAGCAGTTGGGAAAAGGAACCCTTCCAATCTGAGGGACCCGGAGCAGTTGGTGAAAGAAGAGTGGTCCAAAATTCCTGTATAAACTCATTGATGGTTATAGGAAGCGATTTCAGTTATTTTTTCCAAGAACTGTGCTACTAAATATTAATTGAGGGTGCCAATAATTTTGTCCAGTTCATTTTTTGAGTTTTCCGTGGAATGTGTCAGGTTTGCCTTTTTTTTCTCAACTTTTTTGTATCATACCAATACAAACAAAAGAAATAAACATGAGAATGCCTAAACACTTGTAATTGCAAAATGTTTCTGGCCGAAGTAATGCATTATCTGACAGAAATGCAGGGGTGCCCATATTTTGGGCCATGACTGTGTGTATGTGTATGTGTATGTATATATATCTATACAGAGGTCAGGGTGTGACGCACAGTACAGAGGTCAGGGTGTGACGCACAGTACAGAGGTCAGGGTGTGACGCACAGTACAGAGGTCAGGGTGTGTCGCACAGTACAGAGGTCAGTACACAGTACAGAGGTCAGTAGTCAGAATGTAACGGTGCAGAGGTCACAAAGAAAGTACAGGGACTTACAGTTGCTTTGACCTCTTATTCTCCTGGTGATGGTGGGGGAGCAGCGAGGTTTCCTACACGTCCAGCCAGCTTTCTCTCCTGTGCAGCAGAAGCCGGGCAACTGCAGTTCGGCCGTCTTCCTCTCCCACCAATGGCAGCTGAGGTGGGCGGAGGAAACTGCTGTGGCCGCCAAGGAGCCCAATCGAAGTGGGCACAGACGATGGCAGTCAAGCTTCTTGTTCTCTTCTCCCCGCCGCCGCATTCTTAAAGTCAGAGCAGTCTTAAAGAGGCCCCCCTCCCAGTCCACATCTTTCAGACGTTATTAATCTGAGTTGCCCCACTCAGTATGCCCCTCGCTTGCGGCTCTGATCACACCTGTCAGCGTTCCCTCTCTCTCCTCCTGGCCGCTGCAGCTTCAGAGCGGCCGGGAGGACAGAGAGGGATCGCAGAGAGCTAGTGCTCTGGATGGGACACTACCGCCGCGGTGATTGTTCGATTTCTGTTCTCTCTTTTCATTCTCGGACGCTCTGTAGCTGCAGCAGCCGAGAAAGAGAAGAGAGAACAGAAGCGAGCGAGCGATCGCATCACGTATAATGACAGAGTGGGGTCAGAGCATGCTGCGCAGAAGTCGTCAACTGTCTACAGAGTCAATAGCTACAGACCTCCAAACTTCATGTGGCCTTCAGATTGGCACAACAACAGTGTGCAGAGAGCTTCATGGAATGTGTTTCCATGGCCCAGCAGCTGCATCCAAGCCTTACATCACCAACTGCAATGCAAAGCGTCCAATGCAGAGGTGTAAAGCACGGCGCCACGGGACTCTAGAGAAGTGGACACGTGTTCTCTGGAGTGACGAATCACGCTTCTCTGTCTGGCAATCCGATGCACGTGTCTTGGTTTGTTAATCCAGTAATGGTACTTCCCAGAACTCATCTCAGGTGATCTGAGTCCACACCTCCTAATTTATAACGAATAATGATAAATTATCTCTGTATATATACTGAACAAGTTAATGATGAATATAAACAATCTAATTAATATATGCACTAAAAATGAAATGTTGATGGACAAATAATTAATGTGAATAAGATATCCCATGTATGAATATTGATGTAAAGCTATTAATGACGAATGTAAATTACAAAAGTATATATCCTATTGACAAATGGAATATAAGGAATTATGTATATAATTATGGAAATTAACTGAATTTTATTAATTCATTGATATACTATATGTTGATTAGACCTCGTGGTTTAACATTAATATTAATTTACATTGCATTATATGTTTTTTTTTAAAACAGATTATTTCTGAAAGTCGATATATGCAAACATACAGAATAAATACAAAAACCCCCCCCTGAAGAAGCCTGTGTGAGCGTAACGCGTAGGGGACTCATCAATTAGTAATATACCTGCAATAGAACGTTATCAAATATGAATATGTATATATGAATGTACAAAGAAATGTATGTAATGCGGTTTGCAAATAGATATATCAGCATTAGTCTTAGACTTAGAGGCATGATATTCTGAGATACACAGGAGTATGAACTGCATGAGAAAAATTTGTTTTTTATATATCTAACAAAAATCTAAATAAATACTTCTTAACCATTTACATCTGAGTCCTTTCTAAACACACTCCATCACAATAGAAATATTGTTAATGGTTGTTAAACGTGTCTTGGTTTGGCGGTTGCCGGGAGAACGGTACTTGCCTGACTGCATTGTGCCAAGTGTAAAGTTTGGTGGGGGGTGGATTATGGCATGGGGTTGCTTTTCAGGGGTTGGGCTTGGCCACTTAGTTCCAGTGAAGGGAACTCTTAAGGCATCAGCATACCAAGACATTTTGGACAATTTCATGCTCCCAACTGTGTGGGAACAGTTTTGGGGTGGCCCCTTCCTGTTCCGACATGACTGCACACCATTGCACAAAGCAATATCCATAAAGACATGGAGGAGTGAGTTTGGGGTGGAGGAACTTGACTGGCCTGCACAGAGTCCTGACCTCAACCCGATAGAACACCTGTGGGATGAATTAGAGCAGAGGTTGCGAGCCAGACCTTTTTGTCCAACATCAGTACCTGAACTCACTTATGCGCTTCTGGAAGAATGGTCAAACATTCCCATAGACACATTCCTAAACCTTGTGGACGCCTTCCCAGAAGAGTTGAAGCTGTTATGGCTGCAAAGGGTGGGCCAACTCAATATTGAACCCTACGGACTAAGACTGAGATGCCATTAGAGTTCATGTGCATGTAAAGGCAGGCGTCCAAATACTTTTGGTAATATAGTGTGTATATAATTAGGCCCTGCCTACAAACCAATGCCTATAAAAAAAACTGAAATAACAATTTTGGTGCAGTTGACTATTAAACACACAAATTAATTATTATACGGCATGATAAGCAATATCAACAATGTAACAGCATAGGATATTGATTATGTATATGGGATATGAATGATGTATATGGGATATGGATTATGTATATGGAACCCCTTGTGCTATTCCAATCAAGTAAAATATTACAAGATGAATGTGATGGTGATAAACAAAACCTTGACATCCTCTGCAATGCAAATGCTTGCGAGTCCATTGTACAGATAAATGACAGGTAAATGTAGACCAGTTATGAGCAGCACAAGCAATCTTTTTTCTCCAGTTTTTATCTATCATCTATTTTAATATCATAGAACAGCACAAGTTTAAGTTCATAATGTACTTGCAGAGTGCAGTCAGTCGAACGAGCGATAGTGGAAAGACCAGCATACGGATGACATGGGTAGCACCAGGGCCGGCCTTAGGGGTGTGCAAGCAGTGCTGCCGCACAGGGCCACATGGCAAGAAGGGCGCCGTGCGGCCGACACAGCTCGTCCTGGGGGCGGCTTCTCTCCCCCTCACCGCTGGGCGCTGGCCATCCGATATGACAGCACTCCCTCGTCCGCCCCCCCCCCACTTATATGGCGTCTGTCGCAGAGGATCAGAGGGAGGTCGGTACACGAGCTCCCTCCGGTCCCCTCTCCGCTGTCAGAATGCGGAACTGATGTATATTACATCACTTCCACATTCTCGTGTCACTCTCAGGTGTATATTACATCACTTCCGCATTCTTGTGACTCTCCAGCTTCAGATGCCGGAGAGAAGCTGATGAAGCAGATCTTTGCTTCATCAGCTTCTTCAGGGGGGTCCTAGGTGACATTAGGGGTCTTGAAGACCCCTGATGTCTCCATAAAGAGGACCTAAAGCAAAACAAACGACAAACGCACTCAACAATTTGTTACCAGTTATACAGTAAGGTGCACACGAAATGGGCTTTGAACGACGGTGGTACAGTAGAAAGGCATCATGGCACACATGGCACACACTAAGGACAATGACAGAGGTCCTTAGTGGTGAGACAAGTTGTTTTACATGCTGGTTTGTGAGTGTGCCATAAAGAGGACCTGTCACATATTTTGCTATCACATAGGGGGGTTTTCCAACCCCCTATGTGATAGCAAAATATGTGACAGGTCCTCTTTATGGCACACTCACAAACCAGCATGTAAAACAACTTGTCTCACCACTAAGGACCTCTGTCATTGTCCTTAGTGGTGAGACAAGTTGTTTTACATGCTGGTTTGTGAGTGTGCCATAAAGAGGACCTGTCACATATTTTGCTATCACATAGGGGGGTTTTCCAACCCCCTATGTGATAGCAAAATATGTGACAGGTCCTCTTTATGGCACACTCACAAACCAGCATGTAAAACAACTTGTCTCACCACTAAGGACCTCTGTCATTGTCCTTAGTGGTGAGACAAGTTGTTTTACATGCTGGTTTGTGAGTGTGCCATAAAGAGGACCTGTCACATATTTTGCTATCA